AAACAGTTTCTTCTGATAAGAATTCATTTGAATTTAGCTCAATCTTAGAGTTTCTTTCCGCAAATGGACCACTGTTTAAGTTGATTCGTCACTTGATCAATGATAACTCGATTCGTTATGACTTTCCTATCTCTTGTTTGCCGGTAAGTTAAGTAGATTTGTTAAACTTGCATTATTTTTAATACTTTTCAAAGACTCCAACCAGGACCGCTTTTGCTGACAATATCGTTCCTAATTTCTACACAAACAAAATAACTCAAGGCTTTTCAAGTTCAATCAGTTTAAATGCTTTTGAATTTTATCTCTTTCACTTTTCCTACTTCATAACCAATCATCAATCAAAAAGCCCTCAAAATATTATCGAATCAAACTTGGGAGTAGAAAATATCAACTCGATCTACTACGCTTTGCTGGAGAATTACTTAGAAGCCTTTATTCCAGTTCCTTCACTGGCTGCTGGCCAATCTGCAGAGAACAATAAAACGCTCGCCGAAGGCCAAAGCCTCTGGAAATCATTATCGTCATTGTCCACTACAACAAGTAACATCCTCAACCTGTCTCACCCAAAGCACGATCATGTTAATTTTGCAAACAATGCTGCTTCAAGTTCCTTCAGTCCTTCCAACTTGCCTGCTCAAATTTCAGTTCCCAGTTCAGCTAATGTTTCAGCAATGAGCCCCTTTGGCCAAAAGTCTACTTTGATGAGCTCTAAAATCTTCAGCCTTGGCAAATTTCAGCAAACTCCAGTGCAGAATGTTAATCTCAATGACAATGACCTTCTTGGCACACCCGTCTACAAGTGCGAAACAACTCTAAATATTTTCACTGAATTCTGGCTCAATCACGTATTGTTAAGTAATCTCGAAGACAATAGAGGCTTAAAGAGTTTATCTCACAGCAATTTTAAGCTCACCGTCGATCACATGCGAGCTATTCGAAGCTTAGTGAAGCATCTACACTACTTTTCTAATAGTGGCAAAAAGCGAAATAGTGATTTTAATAACTCAAGCTTGCACACGCAGTACAACAGCGGCGGAATTGTCACAGCAGAAATTAATGATCCATTAGATGAGCTGAGACGTAATCTCTGGTCTTCAAAATACCTTATTCAGAAGAAGCTATACCAGTTTTTGAAATTGGCTTTCGACCGATGGCCAAACGATTCTTCGTTTCGCGCTCCACTTGAAACTTGGCTTAGCTACATTCAGCCGTGGAGATACATATCGAAAATTTCACCAATGCGTAAACAAAGCGATGAGCTGAACGATAGTTCAAATTCTGACATTTCAGAATGGAAGCGCTTCATTATTGAAAATCTTTTCTTTTACACTATCATTTTTCGTCAAGTGATTGATCGAATCTCGAAAATTCTCGATTTAAACTCAACTTCCAGCGCTTTTCTTTTATTCAGAATGACCAAAGTGTTTGCCCAAAATCATCTGTGTGAATGGATCAAGGAATCTGAACTAAATCTTTTAAATGGAGGCGATTTGGCTTTTAACTTTCGCTTGCACAACTCCACCAATCTGTTGTCGCCTTCTTTGAAGCACATCTCAAACAGTCATTCAACTGGTGGTAAGTTTTTTTGTTTTTTAAATATATTGAATGACATTATTATTTTGTTTATTCTGGTAGCCCCAATGAAGCACGCCTTAATGGAAATGGAGCCCGTTTCAGTGGAGTATTCTTCGTTCTTTTCTTCCTCATTTCGTGATAAGATAATTAATTTACTGATGAAAATTGCAAAGCATTTGCATGCTTCTGAAAGTTCAAAACAGAAGAAAAACGCAACCAGTGTCGATTCAAAATCAAACACTTTGATCACTGCGATTGTCAATTTCTTCTCAATTGAGAACGCTCCTGCTGATACGACTGGCACCTCTAGTGTTGATACGTCAAAAACAAAGAATTACCTGGAACAGTCTGTACGCTTCCTGTCGAGCATCTTTGACATTTCGCCACAGAGCATTGAAACAATCATGTGCAGCGACAAAGGTCATGTCATGGACGAGACTGATGCTTTCCAGCGAGGTAAGAAAGTTGCTTCAAACAGATGGTAATTCTTACAAAAACACACGTTTCTATTGCAGACAAAAGTGCCTATGAAATGGTGAATGGAGTCCCAAAACTTTCTGAGCATGGCCGTAAATTAATTCTTGGTGGATCTCTGAAGAGTGGCAGTTTAGGAATGCCGCCAGTAATTGAAGGCAATCCTGATACACAGCCTGTACGCACTTTTGAAGTTGAAATTCTCGTCAAGACAGTCCTTTTTCTTTCATTTTTCATCAACACACACTGCCAGGCTTTCTTTGAGAAGCACTACCACGAGGACAGTTACTTTGGGGTCTTCCTACACCAGATTCTGTCTCCACCGATCCAGTACGTTCGATACGTCAAGACCGGCAATGGCCTGACTACTGACATAGTGGTGGAAAGTTTGCCACCGCGAGTTGATTTGCGCTTCATTGCTTCCAAGAGCTTTCTTTTTTACCTGTTGTTTTTACTCATCTTTTGCCGCCTTTTCAACTTTTCTATTCTCAACATTGGCTTCCTCTTCCTTACTGTCTTCATCTCCTACATTGCCACAAAGTCGATGCTCGTACATCTCAAGATGTAAATTGATTATTCCAGGCTACATTAGAGTAACTTTGTTTATTTGAAACATCGAAATAAAAATACAATCTGCTGAACTGAAAACAACTAATCGTAGGTCCACGTTTCTTTGGCCCATATGGGTACCTGGGTCTCAAATGACCATTCGGTAGACTTGTACCGCAGAGCATGCAAGTAGATAAACTGCTCGCAAGGCATTGGATCACAAGTTGGCTCCTTGCATTCAGTACAGTCTGCCTGAGTACTGTCTTTGGCGGGATCATGTTTATAGCGCTTTTTCGTTTCTTGCCAACTCTCCTGCGAAGTGTAGTGTTCCATTGCTTTCAGCGCCAAGTCGTTTCGTTCGGCCACACGTGAATCTTCAATCGCAGTGGTGTCCTTTTCATTTGACAGAAGGTGTTTTGATCGTAAATGTTCATCACCAATGGCTGCTATGAGCTGCAAGAAAAAGTATAAAATGTTAAAACGCCGAACATCTATGAAACAGTAGTATTTACCTCTTCAATGGACTTGCCAAAGTCGCCCCCTTTGCCCTTGTTTGGCCCAAAAGAAGGACTGTTGTAAAAGTTGTCATTCATAATGGGATAGCCTATATACTGTAGATGCACTCGAATTTGATGCATTCGACCAGTCATTGGCTTGCAAAGAACCGTAGAGCTCTTGCCATTGTAATTGAGTCGTTCAAAGAAGGTTTTGCTTGGCTTTCCTGTTGGACTGACAATGCAAATGCCAATCTTATGTGCAATCGTTTCAATTGGCTGGTCCACTTCAGTGACTCCACTATTGGATTAAATGAAATCAATTATAAAGTGACTTCTATCAATCAGAAATAGGTCTCTCTGCTTACTCTGGAAATTTTCCTTCTACTCTGCAAACGTACTCCTTGTGCATTTCTCGATTCCTCATTTCCTGGTGAAGCTTTTGAGCTTTAGCTTTACTGAGTGCCATGATGAGAACTCCCGAAGTAAGTCGGTCTAGACGATGGATAACTACAAAAAATAGAGTGTTTTTATAATGCCGTTATCTCAAGTATATTTTGTACCGTGAATATCTTTAATGCCGTTTTCTTTTTCAAGTAAAGATGTTATAGCATTTAGGCGATATTTTCCACAAGGATGAATCTGGTCAATAGAAATGAAAACAATGTTACATTAACTCAACAGGGAGAAGCTAAAAACAAACCGGTAGAGATGGTGGTTTGTCGATCACCAAAAAGTCCTTGTCTTTGTGGATGATTGGAATAGGGGCAGCTAACACGGGAAACTCGTGGCGATGAATGCGATTGGTTATAAAGTCGTTGTCTTTCAAAATGTAATCTGGCTCCACCATTTGACCGTTTACTTTTAGCAAGCCAGTTTGACATCGCTTTTTCTTTGGGAAACAATGATAGAATCGATAAATAAGTTAGCAAACTGATTCAAATTTTAACAAACCATAATATCTTCTGTCACAGCTCGGAACTCTTGTTCAAAAAGCTCGCTTAATTTTCGGCCGACCCAGCGCCCTTTGCAGTATGATTGAAAGGTGAATTCGTAAGGATAAACTTTGCGGAGTCCATTTTCAATGTAGTAATCAGAGACGTCGAGTGGAGTTTCTACAAACTGATTGTTTCGTTTCAACCGTTTGCTTTTTTGATCCAATAAAGAAGTTGATTCAGCATCATTCTCACTTGATTCTAGTTCTCTCTTTTCGGCGCTCATTGCAGATGAGACTTTAATTGAGCTGGTGAACAAAGTGCGAAATGAAGAGCAAGTGTAATACTGTGGCAGCTTCTTGATGACGCCTAATAAATAACCTGCTCTAGAAGATGGTAAAAGAATCATGAAACTTGCGGAATCTTGAGCAAGTTTACAAAATTGCAAAACACCGAAAACACATGTGACAGTGCACAGTGTGAAAGAGGCTAGATCTGGCGGGCACCGTGTAAATAGATTATTTTGAAAGTGTTTGCAAAGGCGGTTTGTTTTGAAAAATGACCAACATCGGTTGCTTGGCTGCAAAGTGCAAGTCAGGTCTCAAAATCCCTAAACAAACATACATGATCACCCTTGACCTAATCAGTCTCGGTAAATCGCACTGGTTTCCCTGATTTGCATAGTAGAATGTCTCATCCTAGTCGAAACAGCACTGCCAAGTCCACCGACACTGCTGACCAAAGATTCCACCGAACTAGTGCGACCACTGAACGCGCTTTTACCTCTTCAATTTATCCATGGTATTATGTTCCAGGAAGAAGTTATCTCACTGAGCAACGACTTTCGGCGAAATACGCCAAAGAGGCTCAAAGACATTTAGAAAACGAAGAAATTAACAAATACTTCATGTAATAAAGCTCCATTTGCTCCAATTGTTGCTAATAAGTTTTTTCTTTCAGGAAATGTAATTCAGAAGTGAAACTGTTCTCCAACTGGCAAAATCAGCGTCCACTGGTGAAATATCGAAATGTTGAACCAGATGCTCTGATGTCGCCCTTCTACACTAGTGACGCGGCACAAATTGAAATGGAAAGTAGTGCCATTAATAAATGTATCCATAAAATGTCTGGCTTGCTTGACCTTTACGAGCAAGCATCTTTAAAATACAAACAAAACTACATTGACTGCCACTTGGTAATAAAGTTTCTTTTCGAGTACATGGAAATGTACAAAGGCGTCAAAGAGAAGCGTACCCAGTTAATTGCAGAGATTAAACGACATCTGAAGCCTTCAACGACGTACTGCTCGATGCGCGACCCTCTTCGGCAAGTCTGCTTCCTGATCACTGAAATTCTCTGTTTTTACAAAAGAGAGATATTCAACATTATGAAGCTACTGAAACCAGTGTATCGCGAAGTCAACTTTCTTAGTGAACACGAGCAATCAGAGCTTGACCAGCTCAACAATCGCTGCTTTCAAATAATTGACATGTACATTCAGTTGAACGACATTCGAAATGAGCATTTTCAGCAGATGTACGAGTAAGTTTGTTGTTTTCTTCAAAGCCTAAAGCTTTTACTTACTTATTCCTCTCTTTTAAAATACAGCGAAGAGCGAGAAAACGCCTGGAATCAGCAGAAAAAGACGTGGAGCAACGAGATTCTCGTTTGGGACAGTCTTCTGGTGAAGTTGCTCAACTCAAACTACCTTCTCGTCAGAGATAAGCTGGAATCCATTCTGAGCACCCAAAGGGAACATTTCACAGATCGAATGAGCAAATTCGACCAGCTGGCGGCATATGCAAATGAAATCAAGCACGACACGACACTACAGACAGTTTTGTACAAGGAAACTTCACATTTGTTGAGTCGCCAAAAGTAAAACTGTACAAATTGGTTTGCTTTCTCCTCGGTGGTCAGCATTACGCAAAAATAAACATTTTGAACATAACAATCAAGTGCTTTTATTTAATGTTTGAATATCTATGATGTAAAGAGTTACATAGCAAAGTCTATTCGACTTTGGGGTACTTTACTTTAACCTCATTCCAAGTAGTTTTGTTGTGACAGAGATTGCGAATCAATAGAGGAACGTCCGAAAACTGAAAAGTTTAAAAGATGTGCTGGTTACAAACTTGTAGATAAGATAAAATGGCAACTTTACCTTCAGTCGAACTTGCTCCATACTGTCGCGCTCTCGCATAGTGACCGAGTCGTCTTTCTCACTGTCAAAGTCCACCGTCACTGCAAACGGAATTGATATCTCGTCAGTACGAGCGTATCGCTTTCCAATGGAGCCCGAGCTGTCGTCAATCTTGAAGGCAATGCTATTCTCCAGCAACAGGTCGGCAATTCGTGAAACCAGTGCTTTCAGTGTTGCATTGTTACTCAGCGGCAGAATGGAGCACTTGATGGGACAGACAATAGCGGGAAGTGCAAAGTAGGTGCGCTGATCGTCACCATCACGGATGGTAAATGTGTGCTCGAAAATTGAATGCATTATACGGCCAATGCCAAAGGAGGGCTCAATAACACCGGGCACAAATTCCTCCACAAAAACCTTCTTGTCGTACTTCTTCACTGAAACCATCTCCTTGGTGATGGTCACCTCCTTGTCGACAACAGCAAGCTCAAATTGGCCATTGCTCTCTAGCAGCTTTTCATACTTGGCAATTTGCTCTGCATCAATCTGAGCCAGCTTTTCCAGAATCTTTTGCGCTTCGCCTTTGAAGTTCTTGCCGATGAGGCCTTTGTTCGGCACAAACTCCACAACGGGCACAACTTTCGGCTCAGCCAGCTCCTTCTCGGCGACGAGTCTCACGTTTGTGGCCTTGGCGTGTTGTGACAAGTCGAAGCAGGAGCGATCAGCACAGCCGACACACTCAACCCATCCGTATGAAGTGAGTGTCTCGGCATCCCAGCAGTCAGTAGCGTAATGGGCCATCTCATTGCCCATGTGTTGGCGGAAACGCAGTCGCTGCGGGTTCACGCCCACTTTCACCATGAACAGGTAGATTCGGCCGATGAAGTAGCCTAGAGTTTCGTTGGCAATCAGCTTCTGCTCGACGGCATCCTTCAGCTTCATCGTCACACTCGGTTGTCCGTCCATCTGGTTGCAGGCAGTGTAGAGATTTAACTCGAGGTTCGACACTGACTCAAACTTGGCGTGGGACTTGTCGGATGGGTCGACAAAATGCTCAATTTCTGCCATGGTGAATTCACGAACGCGAATCAGTCCAGAGCGAGGACTGATTTCATTTCGGAAAGCATTGCCGACCTGTGCCACCGCGAATGGGATCTTCCGTTGATTAAACTCGAGCAATCGCTTAAAGTTGACAAAGATGCCTTGAGCTGTTTCGGGCCTGAGAAAGCCTTTTACATTTCCACTTGGGCCAATTGAAGTAGAGAACATCAAGTTAAACTCAATCGCATCAGATACTTCATTTCCAGTGATGGGCGACTTGACGTCATATTTGCGCAAAACGGAATTCATTTCTTCTTTGGAAAACCCATCCAATTTGACAATAATGTCCTTGTATTCCTCCTTTTTAGCTTCAGTCGTAGCCTTGTCTACGATCAGCTTTTCTAAATGAGCTTTGATGAGATGGTCCAAACGGAAACAGTCCCCGTTTCCTTGGTCTTTCACCATTAGATCAGCAAAACGTTCCACGTGACCAGAAGCTTTGAGAACTGGTTCCGGAGTGAGAACGGTACAATCGACCTCAAGCATCTGTTCGTTTAGCACAAAGTGATTTCGCCAAAGGTTGATCATGTTATTTTTGATGGAGCAGCCCATTGGTCCAAAATCAAATTGGCCGGTGATGCCACCGTAAATGGCAAAAGAGTTGTCAAAGAAAAACCGCCGCTTAATCAGATCTTCCATTTTGGTGCGCTCAAATCCAGCATCAGCTGGTGCAAGTTCTAGCTCCTTTTCTTCGAGAACTCTTTTACGATTTTTCAACTCGGCGACAGCTTTCTGAATGTCCACTTTGGGAGCGTTAGCAGACTTGAGGTCGCGAACAATATCACCTTTGAAGAGAAATTGGTAACGTAAAGAAGAGAAAACACAACATGTTGTTACCTTGTTCCTTGACAGATTGTCGCAGTGGTGCCAAAAGTTCGGCAATTTTAGGGTCCAGTTCTGCCATGATTTTAGAGACGTAGAGCGGTTTGTATCGGTTAATTTTCTTGTAGCCCCAGCTATGTTTCGCCGGCGCCGACTGCACGAGAATAGCTGAACAACGCTTCAACGACAGTAGTCTACTTGCACTGCTGGCAGGTGAGGGGAAGAAGGAGAAGAGTTGTCAAAGGTAAGTAAAGTGGCGCTGAACAATAGCTGCTGTGGCTTCCACTCGGACGAACCTGATGATACTTTTCAGTAGCATTAAACTAACATCAATTACCCAAAGAACAAGCTCGATTCTTAAGTCGCCTGACCAGTCAGTGAAGCTGATGAAAGGAGAGCGGCGGCCGCAGATGAAATGTGGCAGAAGATGACGCAAATGTTGATTCAACAAGGTGGCAATCGCCTGCTGCGTGGAAATAGAACCAACCGGCGCCGGGAGTTTATTCCGGTGATTTGAGCGTATTCAGCAATACAGTCTCGAAATATGTCGATTCCACATATAGAAAATGGGATTTTTGCCATTGGTGGCAAGGTCTGATGGCAGCCGTGGCCATCAGTTTCCGAACGGGGGCAACAAAAACGACCAACCACTGACTGGACCGTCTTGAGAGCATCTGGAGCATTTATGTTTGCAAGAGACGGCGGGAGATCGACCCTTTGAAAAGGGTGTTGACCAACTTGACGGTCTGTGACAGTCCAGTGCTGCGACTGCTGCTTAGGCGCGTAGTACCTGGACTGGCGCATAGAATCGCCATCAAGAGATTCTAAGCACATAATTTTTGAAACCGGTGGGGAAGCCGCTTTTTTAAAGTTAAGGCGCCCCACCACCAATTTAAATTCAAAGAAAGGCTTTATTCAATAATTCCCAAACACATCACCTCCTAACAAACTTTTTCTTGGGCTCCTTGTAGACGTTAAGCGGCAGCTTTAAACGGGCCACCTTAACAATGAGACTACTAGCGTTGCGCATATTTTCCACGTAGCAGCCAATAAGCTCGAGCATGCGGCGGATGTTTGAGATGGGTATCTTGCAATTTGACTGCAGCTTCTCCAGTTCAACAGGCCGGTATCGATTGAGCATGATTACGAGAATGAAGATGTAGACGAAACAACGGTCCTTGTTCTGATCGGTGATCACGTAGCGCAGTGAACGAGACGTGCTCTGCTTTGTCGAGGTGTACCGTTCAAAGAGCAACTTCTTGATGTCGCCCTCAACCAGCGGCAGCGGGTCCGACTTGCGCATCTCAGAGGCGGACAGTTTAACCAGCTGCAGTAGTAGATCAGCGTAAATGACCATCAACCGCATCTCGGGGTCTTCCGCTTTGACCGACAGGCTCTTGAAGTATTCATTTTTAATTTTGCTAAAGAGAATCTCCTCAAGGCTCCGGATGGCGTCCTCCTCGGCTTCGGTTATAATGTCTCGCAGAGAGTAAACTTCTTCCACCGCCTTGGCGTCATCATTTCGTGGAGGTAAAATGGCAGACAAGGTTTTGGGCTCCGATTCACCATCAATGGCTTCAGGGGAGTCATTACTCTCACCCGGCTTCTGCTTGATGGTTGGCAGATTGTCAATGTCGTCCTCGCCAAATTGAATTTCATATTTGCGTTTGCTGGCTACAAGTGAAATATGTTAGTTGTAATAACTGGGAAAAAAGAGTAAAAGCAATATAAACAAACCCAAGTCTCTTTGGGATCTTCTTGAACCAAACTTTTCCTTCAACTCGTCCAACTGTTCTCTTCTAGTAAGGCGATTTGTATCTTCATTTTCCGTTTCCAGGGCTTCATCCTTGAAAGCATAATTGGGAAACATGCGATACATTTGCGCTGGCTGGCATATCAGCTTTCCATTGGGGCCTCGTCGAGCAATAAAGTAGTTCACATCGTCGTCGTTTGCTTGTGTGGAGCTAAAGTTGACATGGCCCTTTGCGGTGATTGTCGTCTGCTTCGTCTTGCTGTTTGTTTCCCTCGAAAACTGGACGTCTTTTGGAACATGCGAAGCAGGCCAGTAGAGCAGAGATTCATCGCTTATCTGGCTCTTTTCCGGATCAATAAACTTTAACTTGACACAGTCCATGGTGGTGCATTTATCGGGGCTAAAATTCCAATCACAGAATGCTGATTTCGCACGTGGACGCTCTCTGCCAAAGACAACATTAGCACTCACAGTCTAAATAGCAGACTGCTTTTCCACGTGCAAAAATCGGCTGTGTTCATGAGAGAGCCTTTTCAACACAGAGCGTCAATCCATCCACTCATTCATCCGAGTCCCATTTACCGGCTCCGCTACAAGTTCTCTGCAGGTTACCGTCTTCACAGTTTCCCACCTAGTGCTTCACCCGTCAACACTGTTCACTGAGCAATCGGGCAACAGATGATCAACAATCGGCAAAAATGATACCTGAAGAAAACGGCGAAAATGGGGAATTTGTTTTGAGTGACATTCTCCAGCAGGCTTACCTCTCCTCCTCTGCCGGCGATAAATCGTGGGTGACACTAAAGTTCCACTTTAGCAGTCAAACTCTCTCAGGTTTGTGCAAAGTGACATTTCAAGTTTGGTTTGTTTGTACTAATGATGTGCCCACTTTTTAGATGAAGATCTTTTTGGCGTCGTCGATTTTACTCTCTACCAGTTGAAATGTCGCACAAATTTAAAGTTTCGGGCCGAACTATTAAAGCTACTCAAAAGCATTGTAAGGGAAAATAAGCAAGCAAAGGACTACGTGTTTGATCAGTTAATCAGGAAAATCAACGCTCTTCCGAGTATTTGCTCTTCAGCCATCGCCAGTCATCTGCTATTTCTTCCTCGCATCTGTACCTTGTTTTCCTGGAACAATCTTGGCCATCAGTCTAGAAAGCAGCTGGTCGAAGCCCAAGTCAGCTTGTGTTTGTTTTTTGCCAAAAGCAAAAACAAATTTCTCTATGACATCAACTACAAATGTCTCAAGAAAACGTTGCTTTCTCTTGATGAGACCACGCTCAACGAGTACCTGGTCACCATCAAAGGCCTCAACTCTTCCATTGGCACAAGTATTTTGTGGGACAATGTCGTTCGATTCTTTAAGGAAAATGATCATCTTGAACACTTTAGCGCACATAAGGACTATATCCTTGATTGTTTTAACAAGAATATTGTCATGTCAAAAACAAAGATTCCCGACTGTTTCGGATCGTTTGCATTTGCCAATGTTCTTCGGCAGATTGATGAGAATGATTTCAAAAGCATTCTGTTTCCCGCATTGCAGAAGGCCATTTTACGTAGTGCTGAAACTTCCCTTGTTTTGATCTCATTTCTGTTTGAGTTTTTAAATTTTAATTTATCAAACTTTTCACAAGGTATGTTGCTCAATGATTAACATTTTGTGATTTTAAAACTTTTTTAAATTTAGAAATTGGCAAGCTGCTCGGAAGTCACTTCTGCTCAAAAGACGACACTCTGCAAGAGGAATCAATCAAGGCAATCAAAATATTTTCTTTCAAGTGTGCTACCGTCTCATCAATTAAATCAATTGTGAATCATCTTTGCAAAATTTACAATGGAAGCGAAGGAAAATTGGCATTGCAATCGCAGAAATTTTCGGTTTTAAAAGCAATCGGGCTGGTCTCTTTTAATGGCGTCTCTCTGCCTGCTGATAAGCAAGTCATTTTTGATTTATCCATCAACGAGTTGACTGCTATTGCCAAGCAAGAAACAACGGAATCAGTTGTGGTGATGGTATTCAACCAAATGAAACTTTGGATCACCAACTGTACTTGCGAACTTGCTGAAACCTTTTGGAAGTTTATTAAAGACTTTCGAAAGGGAAAACTGGCCACTGCACCGACAATGATTGCCCTCTATGACTGCATCAATCGCTATATTGTCAATTTTGAAAAACTGGGCAAATCACTAGGGGAAGATGACATTTTCAATGCGCTGCTAAACTCTTCGCGAAACTTGACAACTTCTATTGCTAAGATTAATCTTCTCGTTGAAAGCCTCTACTCTTCGGTTATTCTGCTCAACCTTTACAAACGTGATCACAGTTTGGGTATGTTGCTCTTTTTACTTTGTGTACTTTAATTTAATGTAATAATCTTCATATTTTACAGAATCCAAACTTGGACCGTTTCTCCAGAATCTGCATCAGCTGGACAAGGTTACCTTTCTTACTGACAAGTACCTGAACGAAGCTCCAGTTGAAAGCGCTATTTACCTGGGGGACTTTATCTCTTTGTCTTTTCAACTCAACATTGCTGGCGACAAAAGGTTAAATTATTGGTTGTGAACAAAGAAACTGAACCTAATGATTTATTCTTTTGTGCAGAATCTTCTACAAGATGCTGATTTCGCTCATTTGCTTTAGCAAATCTAAAGAGTGTCGAGACAAAGCTATTTCCCTGCTAAATGAACTGGCGAAATCAAACAGTAGTCTAATCAGCGAAATGGTGCAGACGTTTTTCGATCTTTACGGCACTGAAGCGGAAACTACTGCGGTAGAAGACAGCAGTAAAAGCGACGCACAGTTTCTGGCGAAATGCGTTCAGGTTCTCATCAACTCTGAGCAAATTGCCGAAAAATCAGAGTTTGAAGTGCACAAGTTTGCCTTGGAATGTGTGAAGATATGTCATATTCCACGGGTGTACCACTATCAGCCAAATCTGTTCCAGACTTTCCTGTGCAAACGATTTGACAAGGGCGAAATTGCCACTTTTGTGGAGAAGAACACTAGTGCTCTCGTCAACATTGTCTTTAGCAGCAGTCTATCTGATCAGATCAAGCTGAACACTGTCAAAACGCTCTCAAAGTTGAATGCCAACAAGTTTATCAGCTGCTTTGTTCGCGAGGTTAATGCAAATCTTGACCAGCTGTTGATTCCGCTCAAATCAGTGACCTCCACTGAGGTGGAAATCTTTAAAACGCCACAAGGAACTCTCTATGACAAGGCAGTTGTGAAAGCTGCTGGCGACACAAGCGCAGATAAGAATGTGCGTCGAGAGAACAAACTGTACTCTTTTAAAGATCAGCTGGCGGAGATGGAGTTGCGCAAGGATCTGGAGGCAAAGAGTAAGCACACCGACCTCGATTTGAGCAAGCTCACTAAAAAGCAAGAAGAGGTGTACAAGGCACAGCTGGCAAAGGAGGAGGACGTTCGAAATCGCCTAAAGTTGCTCGATGGAAAGCTGTCCTTTAACTTGGACGTCTTGCTCGCCATGATCCGCTCCAACCCTTTGGTCGCGTCGATTCACTTTAAGGAAATACCGTCCACCTTGGTCAACCTGTTTACGTCGGAGCTGTGTTACGAACGAAGCAAGGCCTTTACTCTGGCAATCAGCCGCCCAATGATGGTCTCACCGGCAACCTGCAACGACCTCGAGTACAACAAGTTTGTGGACACTGCCGCCTTCACCCTGGTGCGTCTCTACCGCAACCCAGCTGACCCCGACAATGAGCTGCTGCAGCTGATTGCACGACTAGTTGAATACCTCTACAAGCGCACCTGCCCAAACAGCGGCTCGGGCTATGATGAGACACTGAACCGATTAGCGGCACAAAACCGCCTCTCGACTCCGGCATTTGCCTTCGTCTTTCCGCTGTTGCGCTTTGTTTTGCTTCAGCTGAAAGCCTCGGCGGAAAACTATGACCAGATGGTGGACCGGTGTTTGCAAGTTATTACCCAGCACTCGCTGCACCGAAATGATTCGGCTGAGAAGAAGGGGGACAGCGGCTTGAAGGACCCGCAAAATATGCCAAACAAACTGGTACTGGAGACGCTGGTCAAGTTTATGGAAAAGAACTTGCCGGACCATGAAAAGACGGCCGCCTCTGCGGTGATTAGCACCGTTGGCTGCATCAACGGCAGCGCTGGCTGTGGCATGGCGTCACCGGGCGACATATTTGTGCTGCTAAACTCGCTCACCCATCTCAACGACCTGATCCGCCAGACGTGCTTTCAGGCGCTAGACGACCTGTCGACGGCCGTTTTGCCGCTCCTAAAGGAGGAGGACCACTGCAAGGAGAAGCTGCGACATCGCGTCTTTATCGGCCGCTTTGACACGCTGCCCGAGTGCCAGGCCTTTGCCAATCAGATATTTGAGCGATGCGCCTTTGAGACGAGCGGCAAAATGCTGGAGACCATTCTCGAGGACGACATTGAGAATGCCAATGCAGTGCTCGTGGTGCCCGTGTCAGAGGCTTATCGCTTCCTTCTCAAGCAGTACCCTGAACGGCTGGGCGAGTTTTATGAAAAGCTGACCAAGTTTTACAGTGAAAAGGCCAAGGCGTCGGTTCCTTCGACGGACGCTTTCGGACGGCCGTTGGCAAAGGATCACGTCGATCACTACGAGCAGCGACTGGCCGTTGCGTGTATCTTTAAAAACATCGCCGAATACTTTTCCGAGGATCAAGTGAAGAGCTTCATCAAGTTTCTCATTCCCTCTGCCCTGAGCGACAACAATGAGTCAGTTCGGAATGTGATGCTCGAAGCCGGCTGTCAGCTGATTGACTTTCACGGAAAGAACAATGTCAACTACCTGCTAGATGTGTTTGAGGTCTTTCTCGATTCAGCCCCTGACGACCACCGAAACGACCTGGTGCGCAAGAGTGTCATCATCTTTATGGGCACGCTGGCCAAGCATATTGACGGCAGCAATCCCAAACTGAAGCCCATTCTCAGCAAACTGGTGGAGACACTGTCCACCCCGTCGCAGATTGTCCAGGAGGCGGTGGCCAACTGCCTGCAGTACCTGATTCCCAAGTTCATCGACGACGCGCCGGCACTCCTTCAAAAGCTGCTTCAATTTCTCTTTGAGTCGGAAATTTACGGCGAGCGAAAGGGCGCCGCCTACGGCATTGCCGGCATCGTCAAGGGACTGGGCATTCTCTCGCTCAACAAGCTGGGCATCATGGACGCCCTGACGCAGGCGATTCAGGCCAAGGACAAGCCCAACAATCGCGAAGGGGCGCTCTTTGCCTTTGAGATGCTCTCCTCCATGCTGGGCCGCCTCTTTGAGCCGTACATTGTCCACATTCTGCCGCACCTCCTCGACTGCTTTGGCGACTCGAGCGTCCGCGTGCGCCAGGCGGCCGATGACAGCGCCAAGGTGATCATGTCCAAGCTGAGCGCTCCCGGCGTGACGCTCATTTACCCGGCCATTTTGACCGCCCTGGAGGACGACTCGTGGCGCAAAAAGACCAGCTCCATTGAGCTGCTCGGCTCGATGGCGTACTGTGCGCCCAAGCAGCTCTCGCAGTGTCTGCCCAAGATTGTCCCCAAGCTGATGGACGTCATTACCGACTCGCACCCCAAGGTGCAGCGCTCTGCGGCGCAGGCACTCAAGCAGATTGGCTCGGTGATCAAGAACCCCGAGATTCAGGCGATTGTGCCGACGCTGCTGGAGGCGCTGCAGGATCCGGCCAACAAGACCAACACCAGCCTCAACACGATGCTCACCATGAAGTTTGTGCACGTCATTGACCCGCCCTCGCTCGCCCTCATTATGCCCGTCATTGAGCGAGCTTTTCTCAATCGCTCCACTGAAACGCGCAAAATGGCCTCGCAGATTATCGGCAACATGAACGCGCTCACCAAGAGCAAGGACCTGTCGCCCTATCTGCCGTCCATTATTCCCGGCCTCAAAAACTCGCTCCTCGATCCGGTGCCCGAGGTGCGCGGCGTCACTGCGCGCGCTCTCGGCGCCATGGTCAAGAGTCTGGGCGAGGAGATTCTCGCCGACCTGCTGCCCTGGCTCAAGAGCATGCTCATCTCGGAGATGAGCTCGGTGGATCGGTCGGGAGCGGCGCAGGGCCTGTCCGAGGTGCTCGGCGGTCTGGGCGTCAACAGCCTGCAGACCTTTATGCCGGAAATTATCGCCATCACGGAGCGCACCGACGTGCCGCCGCACGTCAAGGACGGCTACATAATGATGTTCATCTACCTGCCGCTGGTCTTTACGCAGCACTTTGCCGCCTACATTTCTCAGGTGGTCAATCCCATTTTGAAGGCGCTGGCGGATGAAAATGAATTTGTGCGCGAAACCTCTCTCCGAGCGGGCCAGCAAATTGTCAACATGTACGCAGAGACGGCCATTCAGCTGCTGCTGCCCGAGCTGGAGCGCGGCCTCTTTGATGACAACTGGCGAATTCGCTACAGCTCGGTGCAGCTGCTGGGCGACCTGCTCTTTAAGATTATCGGCGTCACGGGCAAGATGACCACCGAGTCGCACAGCGAGGACGACAACTTTGGCACGGAGCAGTCGCACAAGGCCATTCTGGATGCCTTTGGCGAGGACCGACGCAACACGATTCTCTCTGGACTGTACATGGGCCGCTCTGACGTGGCGCTGCAGGTGCGCCAGGCGTCTCTGCACGTCTGGAAGGTGGTGGTCACCAACACTCCCCGGACGCTGCGAGAAATTTTGCCCGTCCTCTTTTCGCTGCTCCTCGGCGGCCTGGCCAGCAACTCGAGCGACCGACAGCAGGTGGCCGCCAGGACGCTGGGCGATTTGGTGCGCAAGCTGGGCGAGCGAATTCTCCCCGAGATTATTCCCATTCTCGAGGAGGGACTGGAGTCGGAGCGCGCCGACCAGCGCCAGGGCGTGTGCATTGGCCTGAGCGAGATTATCGCCTCGACGAGCAAGGAGATGGTGCAGGCCTTTGCCGAGAGTCTCATTCCCACGGTGAAGAAGGCGCTCTTTGACGAGCTGCCCGAGGTTCGCCAGGCCGCCGCGCAGACCTTTGACCAGCTCTACCTGGCGATTGGCACCAAGGCACTGGATGGCATCCTCGCCAACCTCGTTGACAGCCTCGACGACCCGAATGCGGTGGAGCAGACGCTGGACACGCTGCGAAACATGATTTCATTCAAGAGCAAGGTCATTTTGCCCTACCTGGTTCCCAAGGTTTGTCGGCGAGTGTGTGTGTGTTTTTGTGTGTTTAACTTGTTTACCCTTCAGGTAATTGCCGAGCCAGTCAACACGCGAGCACTGTCGTTTATCTCCTCGGTCGCAGGTGACTCTCTCTCCAAGTACCTGCCCAAGANTGTTTAACTTGTTTACCCTTCAGGTAATTGCCGAGCCAGTCAACACGCGAGCACTGTCGTTTATCTCCTCGGTCGCAGGTGACTCTCTCTCCAAGTACCTGCCCAAGATTATTCCCGCCATTTTGTCTGCCCTGAGCGCCTCGTTTGGCACTCCCGAATATGAACAGGTTTGTTGTTTTACAAGTGTTGAAAATGCTGACATTTTCCCCCTTTTTTAGCAACTTGAATACTGTCGCTCTGTCGTGGCGTCCATTTCCGACGAGAATGGCTCCCGATCGGTGGTCATTTGCCTGTTGGAGTCCATCAGCTCGGATGACTTAAACATTCGCCGAGCGGCCACCACGCTGATTGTCACCTACTGCGTGCACTCCAAGCCGGCCAACATTTCCAGCTACCGCTCGCAGCTGTGGCGTGGACTGGTCTTTATGCTCTCCTCGGAGGACGAGTTTATCCTCAACCAGTCGATTGAGGCGCTGCACGCCCTCACCAAGACCATGGACAGCAAGGAGCAGATTGAAATGGTGGCGGAAATTTCCAACGCCCTGCGCTACACCATCAGCGACTATGTCGCCCACCTCGGCCAGCAGTCGAGTGAGCAGCACAGCAAGGACAATGTCATTCTGCCTGGCTTTACCACCAACAAGGGCATCCTCCCCATGATGAACATTTTCAAGGAGGCGCTGCTCAACCCCAACATGGACGTCAAGGAGTACGGCGCCACCGGGTACCGCGACATTATCAAGCACGCCAGTCCGGAGGCGCTCAAGCCCTCCGTCATGGGCATCACCGGGCCGCTGCTGCGAATCGTCGCCGACCGCATCTCCAACAGCATCAAGGCCACCATTAGCGACATTCTCTCCATCATGATTTTCAAAGCCGGCGCCCAGCTGAAGCCCTTTTACCCGCAGATTCAGGTCTTTTTCATGCGATCTCTGGGCGACGCAAATCGAAACGTGCGCCTTCAGGCGGCCGTGTCGCTGAGCCGCTTTGCCACGGTTCACGCCAAGATTGACCTGTTTTTCGGCGAGCTCTTGACGCTGCTCAAAAACACCCCCCACAATGAGCTGTGCATGCGAGAGACGTCCTACTACGCCCTCCGACTGGCCATCTCCTCGGCCGGGCAGCGAGCTTCCAAGGAGATTCACCACCAGATTATTGAGATTGTCTCGGGCGAAAAGGAGAGCACCATTGACTCGTACCGCGTGACGGCCGCCTCGTGCCTAGGGGCGCTCTGTGCGGCAATGGACGACAAGGACCTGTCGACCATTGTGCACCTGCACCTGATGAGCGACAATCAAAAGGAGCTGTGGACTATTCGCCACTTTCGCTCCATTGTAATGCGAATCGCCCTCAAGGACTCGTTTAATCGCCTCATGTCGGAGCAGTACGAATGGGGCGAGCAGCTGTACAGTGTCACGCTGAGCTTTATCACCTCGACCAATGTGCCCATCATTGTCAGCGGCATCAAGACGGCGGCGTACATAATTGACCACTGCCTGGAGAATAAGGTGCTGCCTATGCAGCCTCTGGTGGCGGCCTATGCCAGGGTAAGCGAGCGAGCTTTTGCGACAGCCTAATTTGTTATCCTTTTTTTATCCTTTAGGGAATGAACAACTCCAACAATGACGTCAAGCAGGCCGTGGCAGTGTCGACCATTTTCTGGGCCAACCGGCGAAGCGAGTTTCCCATTATTCTCTACCGCACAATAGTTCCGCTCCTGGTCAATTGTTGCAAAGAAAAGAACACGGCAGTGCGAGTGCACGCTGAGCAGGCATTGGTGGCCATGCTAAAGCTCAAAGACCCAGAATCGCCCGTCTACCAAAAGTGCCTCAAGGCGCTGGACTCGGGGGCGGCGGGCTCGCTGGCAGACTGCGTCGCCAAGATGAAAAAGGCCATTGCCAAGTGCGAGATTAAGGAGGAGGAGTTTGACGACACGCTGCCCTCCAACCTCAAAGAAGTTTAACTGTTGTGATATCACTGTAGCCGTTGAATAAATGCTTGTTGCTTTGATTGGTCTTTACAGATAACGGGGATGCATGTGTGCCCTACATGAGCAGACGATTGCTGGTGGGCTGTTTTTAGATTTCAGTGTCAGTACTCGGTGGTCCTCGGCACTCGTTACGACTAGTCCTTATCAGCGTTTCAGTTTCATTTGCTCGCTGAACACTGCGGCACATTGACGTGGGCGCCACCCATTGGGCGGCAGCGCTGCTGCAGCGCCTTGTTGTTCAACGGCACAGCAGCGGCGACAGCAGCAGCAGCACAGACAGTGTGCACGTTCACATCGACCCAATGCTGACGATTTCATTGATTGGCATGTTGAGGTAATCATCGTTTCTTTTTCTCGTCGCATTGTTGGCCACTCGATCGTCGTGCATCGTTGCCACCAACACGTTGAAGGTCCACTAATCACTGTCGTTTGGGTACTCGGATGCTCAATCACACTGGCCGAGTACTCGCTGACTGGCCGTTTTTCTCGTTTTATTTGTTTACATTTGTGCTGTTGTTGTTGTCCACTCGAGTTAAAGTGTTGCACTGCGGATCATTGCAAGTCGCAACACTAGCAAGTCATGGCCGACCTGTCGTCAGTAGATTCCAAGACTGCCAGTCTTGCAGCGCAGTCTGAAGAGCTAGATTCACTTGATCAAGAGTACCAGCGTCTTGAAGATGCTCAACGCAACTTTAACCGCTCCATCATTGAGATGCAGAGGCACCAAAACGAGTGCTTCAAGGAGATTAAGCACCAAAAGTACCGCATCAATCAAATACGAGAGTCACTAAAGCGGTAAGTTTTGGGTGTTGTCGCCTTTTGACCAATCAACTAACCCTTTTCAATGCAGACATAAAAAGGAACATGGAGAAGGCGCCGACACTAGACCAATTGAAGAGCGAATTGCCAATAGGTGGTCGCAAATAAAGGAGGTAGAGAGTGGTTTGCCCAAACCCAATGGCCTCTACCTCAATGTGGTGCTGGGCTCAATCAATGTCAATCACCTGGATCGCAAGTCACGCCTCGACTACAAGGAGCAGTACGAGCGCTTCAAGCTCTTTGTCACCAGCATTCTTCTGGTCATAAGTTTTGTCAACATTTTTGCCGAATTTCGGTACGTACCGCTGCCATGTTTCAACAGCTTTTAATTGCCCAATTTTTACAGAGCACTCGATTCCATTTTGCACTTTATGCTCGTGTGGTACCACTGCACTCTGACTATTCGAGAGAGCATTCTCGTGGTGAATGGCTCTAGAATCAAGGGCTGGTGGCGAGCGATTCACTTTCTCACCTCGATTACCACTGGCATTTTGGTTGTTTGGTTAGTAGTACCCGAGTCTCGACTTGTTTCAATTGCTAAATTTGATTGTTCACTAGGCCCGATGGATCAAGCTACGAAAAGTTTCGCTTTCAGTTTTTGACGTACATTTGCTACACGAGCTTTCTCCAGTTTTTGCAGTACTACTACCAGTACGGCTGCCTGTACCGTCTGCGAGCCCTGGGCGAGCGCTACTCGATGGACATTACCATTCAGGGCTTTCACACGTGGATGTGGAAGGGGCTGAGCTTTCTCTTGCCATTCCTCTTTGTCGGCTACGTCTTGCAGTTTTACATTTTCTACAGCTGCTACCAAATGTTTATGTACGATCCCAACTGCGTCGAGTGGCAGGTGCCCGTCGTTTCGTTCATGTACCTGATTATCTCGCTTGGAAATCTCTTTACCACCTTTTTGGTCGTCTACCAAAAGATTAAGAACATGAACCCCATCAAGCCCATTCGCCAGATTGGCCGCAAGATTAGCAGGGTCGTGCTCACCAAGGAGCAGTAGGCGGCGGCGGCGGCGGCGGCAGTGTCGCTCGTTTTGTCACTCGCGCGCACACAAGTCTCAATACTCGTTTGTTTTTTATTGTTGTCAAGTACAAAGTAGTAAAGTAATAAATGGTAATAAAAAAGCTGCGCTAGTGGAGAACAGGGAATAGGCTACCTGGGCGCCTGATTATGCGTAGCCAGTGGTTGCCGCCGACTGCGAATCACTGTAGTCGACCACCCGTTGAATGAGATTGGTGTTGGAGTTGGCCATTAGTGTCGACACTTCGGTGGTCGTTGCCCTCAAGTTGGGACTAGAATCTGCACGGAAAAAGAGCAACAATTTTAGTTGGTGTACATTTATTGGCAACTGTTGCAACACGATTTGTATAAATAAATAAATACTAGTGAAACATCAACAACAACAACAACAAGAACAACTCATTTGCCGAGCGGTACATGCAGGTAGCTGTCATTATCATAGGCAATGGCCGGCTGGGGCTGCGTGTCAAACTCTATACTGATACCATTTGAGGAGAGGGCCGACTCTGAGCCGCCGAGTGCATGCTTGCAGCGGCTTTCGTCCTTGAGTAAAAAGCGGGCACTGAAAAAGAAAAACAATGCCCCGAAAATGAGAACAAAGGGAGTCAAGTAGAGCGCGTAGGAAAGACTGGAAAAGACGACATTTTCATCCTTGCTATCTTTAGAAATGGCGCTTGATATCTAGAGGGAGAGAGAGAATGGTGTGTAAGAATAGAGCGAAAAGAAGAGGGGAGCCAACTTGCCGCGCCGACGATAAAGGGACTGCTGGCGTCACCAAGGATATGGGCGGTCAAAATTTGCAGCGCTTGAGCGGATGACCGCCGGTTGGGCACAATGACGTACAGCAAAATGTCCACCGTCACTGACCAGTTGGTGGAGAGAAAGGTGATTGCCAGAAAGATGCTGATCCAGGCAATGGTTGGGTGGCTCTTGACAATGAAAATGGTGAGAAAGGCACAGGGAATACTGGTAAAGACGCCGATCGCACAAATGTACGAGTCGACAGTGGGGTACTTTTGGCGAAAGTATTGTGAAGAGAGTGACCCCATGAGAACGCCGAGGATGCCGCCCACGCAAGCAATGGCGCCAAAGATGAAGCTGATGCTGCAGAAAAAAGGGAGAGTAAGTAATTTGAGTAGCAACATGGCAAAAGGGTGCTTGCCTTTCAGTGGTGCTGTCCTTGATGGCGAGTTTCATAAAGGTTGGCGCCCACCAGGAAAGTGCGCCAATGGAAAAGCTGACGCACGTAAAGCCCAGCGTTGTGAGCACGTAGGTGGGCACCGAGACGAGGTAAGCGGCGTCCCGTTGTAGGCTCGCAAGGGTGGATCTGAATCCAGTGGAAGAAGGCTCTTGCTCGTCTTGTACTGGAGGCTGGTAACGTTCACTTTCCATGGCTCCTCGTTCTGGCTCGGTGATGAAAAGAAAGCCGACCACGGCCAGCAGACCAAAGGTGGGCGTGAAGCGAAGGGCCCAGTGCCAGGAGCCAAAGATGCTGGCCATTTGAGAGCCAACAATGTAGCCAAGGCCGGAGCCAACTGGAATGGCAAAGTAAAAGAGGGCAATCATTGTGGACCGTTTCTTGCCGACAAATAGATCGGCAATGATGGTGGGCGCCACTGTAGAGTAGCTCGCCTCGCCAATGCCCACCAGGCCTCGAAAGAGGAAAAAGAGGCCCGTATGATGGGGCTGCACAAAGGAGGACAAGAGTGTGACGCTGCTCCAAAAGAGGACACCAAAGATGATGATGATTTTGCGAGAGTAGCGGTCTCCGAGAAAGCCAAACACGGGTGCAAAGACCATGTATGAGCAAATAAAGACGGTCTGCAGGAGGCCGGCGGTGGCGTCGTTGATTTCAAAGTACTTTTTGATTTCATCGAGGACACCAGCTATTGTGAACCGGTCCATGTAGTTGAGCAAATTGACAAAGCAGAGAATTGCTACGCAAACGTAGCTGTTGATGGTCGCCATTCTGCAGCAAGAGTAACAAGAGAAGGGTGTGAGTACAAGAGTGATTGTAAAAAATGGATAAAATGCAACTTACGTGATTCAAGTATCACGCCGCTAGACGGGAATTGTAGTTGCAAAATGTCAAAAGTGAAAAGGCTTGATAACTGGTGCGACTGTCAGTAATGGGCATATAAACAAATGCACATGACCAGTACCTTGGAAGACAAGACGATATGCTCGACTGATAAAAGTGCTTGCTCGACAATTTTTTTTTCTACATGTGTGCGATTGGCGGTGAGGAGGCAAGTTTCGGGTACAAAAGTCATGTATGCGCATTTATATAGTAGTAGTAGATGTAAAATGTATAATCAACAAAAAAAATTGGATTGGCATGCTCGTCCTCTGTGGACAAGAAGAAACACAAGACTGATTGGTCTGCGCGCGTGTTTTGCCTCGACGGATTGTTTGCCAGGATTTGAATTTCAAAACTTTTGCCTCATTGTTGCAAAAGTCATGGCGGAAGGCGATCCAGTCGCTTCTGTTTTGCAAGATTTGGAGCTGCTCAAGCAAACAAATCAACAACTCGAAAATGATTATCAAAACTTTAATCGGGCAATTGCCGAGGCAAAAAGACTCCAAGTGTCGTGCACCCAAAATGTGGCCCATCAACAAGATCAACTTGAACAAATGCGGAAAAAACTTGGGTAACTAGTCTTGGCATTATTCATTGTGTAATGCTTTTTTTGTAGGCTTGCCAATCAAGACGATGTAGGCGCTCTTGAGCAACAAATTGCCGAAAAATGTCGTCGATTGAGCCAGGTATTGAATGGTTTGCTCGTTTTAAACAATGAAACAACTCGTGACGATGCTGCTCCTGCCAAAAGGGCTTCAACTGCCCCTAAAAAGCCCGCAAGCACAAATCAAAAGACCAACACTGTGCGACCACAGTTTCAAGTCAGAACCGATGCGTATCAGCAGCGCATTGACCACTACATTACTCAACGCCAAATGGAGCCCAAGCACCGACGAATCCTCAAACTAGAGTAAGCTTTTCCAAGGTACTACACTTTTTACTACTAAAATGTCGCCGCCTCTAGGAGCACGCTCATTTTGCAAAACGCCGTCTACTCGAAAAGGGATCAGACGTTGCTTGATTTGCTGCTCAAGGCAACCTTTGTCGGATGCGTGGATGAAAACTTGATGCTGCTGCAGCACGAGCTCGACTTGGTACTGGTCACCATTCGCCCACTAAATCAAGAGCTCTTTTATCAATCGATTCTCGTTGATTTTGGAAATTTTGACTATATCGAGTTTCAAAAGCCTCTGCCCATTGCCGAGCTAGTCGCCATTTACCTACGCCACCACAAGCCGGCTGTTGCCAACGTCACCGAGGAGGCAAACAAGATTATC